AAGTTACTTATAGCGCGGAAAACCCAAAAAACATTTCCATATATAAGTGTTTACATTTTTCGGATTTTATTGTCGGAAATACCAAATGTTACTTTGACATATCAATAATGTACAAATTTAAACATAAAAAAAGAAAATAGAGAATACAAAATACAAATACAAATTATTAGTACATATAAATAGCTTAAAATCATAGGCAAAATAGTTTCATACAGCATATTAGACTAGATATATTATCACAGTTGAATTTCAATAGAGGAATATGGTTTTTTAAATAATAATTCTTTTATTTAATTTTTAGATGTAATCTAGTCAACTCTTTTATTTGTGTTGGAAGATGATTGACAATGTTTTGGGAAACATGTACTAGTCTTGGCTAATCAGTAATAATTTTTCCTTATGTTAGTTCGGGATCTTGTGAGAAATATTGATGTACCATCTTATTTGCAAATAATAATAACTTTATTTACGCCATAGGCATTTTACAAAATAAAAAGTAAGAAACAAACTTATAAAACACATTAAAATATCAAATACATGGTTATTTAATATTAACCTCGATAGTAACACTACGTTTAAACGAGAAAATAGTGGGACTGAAAAAGTCAATACTCGCACTAAACTCATTGATTAGGCCAACCGTCCGATCCAATGGACTGTTCCGGAAATACAGCGTTCGATTGTGCCTAGTTTGCAGTAAATGAAATAAGATGCAGATTATCTTTTGCATAGGTACATAATAGTAGAACAAATATTGTGACGGTAAGATTAAGATTTTTATATCAACAAAAGTCGTCCTGTAATCATCTCTTTATCCTAGAACCTAGACCGTCATAGCTATTATCAAGTACATAAACTGGGTCTTTATGGACGAGCCGTTTATTTAGCCGAGCGGGCTTGCGAGCGAAACACAAATAAACAAGGCGAGTCCCCATAAAGCCTATTTATGTACGCGATATATACAAAGCTTTATGTACGACTGCAACAACCCTTAAAAATGAAAATTTCATGGAATTCAATAAACGATAAAATCTATATATCATTGACAACAGATGTCAAGCATATGTCAAGTATTTCTAAAATACTTGAATTGACACCAAAGTACGACTGTCACATTGACAGGCGGTCGTTTTACTTTATCATTATGGACTAGGCCATAATATTGCAAATTATGGCCACTAATTGCGACTGTAATCACCGCATTATCAAGCAGTCGTACATAATAGTACATTATATATCAAGGTAGAGAAGTCCAGTATTATTGCCTGAGCACCAAGATTACATCTCGAGGCGCTTGCGCCGAGGGGTGTAAGGTGCGAAGGCAATAATAGACGTCTCTACCGTGGTATATATACTATTTTTTTCACTCCTAGCACTTGAAGTCCTCTAAATTAACATATTATATTGATAAGAAAGTGAACGGTTGGACAGAATTGTTTGTTTATTAATTTAACATGTCAATCAAGTGTGTGGAAGTACAAGTCAAACAGGCCGTATTTTGTTCTGTAATTTCGTTCGAATTTTTTCAAAATGTGATAATTTTAGGTATGTAATTTCTCTGGAAATGGCGGATGGTGGCAATTATTCATTTTAGAGAACTTGTCTAAACGTTTATTGAGCGAAATTTCGGGTTGTTTTTTCTAAAAGTGACAGCGTGACAGTTCTCATTATTCAGATTTTAGGATATTGGGAGTAACGTTAGATCCACATCTGACTTGGAACAGACATGTAGCTATTCAAAGTGCTAAATTATCTAAAGCTATATTTGTTATCAGGAATCTTAAAAGAGTTGCTTCAATGGAAACTGTAATTACAGCCTATTATGGCATTTTTCATTCAATTTTATCATATGCAATTCTTGCATGGGGCCATTCGAAACATGCAAATACTTTATTTGCCTTACAACGGAAGTGTATCCGAATAATAAAAAATATCAAGTACAGAGAGTGCTGTAGGAGTGGATTTTGTTGAGCTAGGTATCTTGACACTCCCTTGTACATATATACTTCAATGCCTACTCTATATTAAAGAGAACATAGTTTCACAAACTGTAAAACAGGATTTGCATAGTTATAACACAAGGAACAAAGAACACATTTACATAACTTTTCATAGGCTCAATAAAACAAAGGATGGCGTATCATATTATGGGATGAAGTTTTATAATGCATTACCCACGAAAACTAAAAACTTAGATTCACTATCATTCAAAGCTAGTGTAAAGGAATATTTAAAACGTCGAGCATTCTACTCACTAAACGAATTTTTGAACAACAGTTTCAATGACTTAGATTGCTAGCTCTGTTTGTGAAGATGTTGCGATTTTGTTGTCTAAATGTATATTTATTTTGTCCTTTGTCATTTTACCTAATTGTCATCTTGTCTAAGAAAATAGGTTTTAAATTTATATTGTATTGGTAGATAATTTGTGGTCAATTATGTCTGTGAAAAAATGACGTGTGAAAATACTTGTAAGTATAAATCACCAATAAAGCATACATACATACATACATACATACATATTGACTACTAGTTAATAATGTCCACATTATTAACCACTTTGTACAAATGCCGAGAAAGCCTACTTTACAAGTGGAAAAAAGGTTAATAATCATGTCATCAGACGCTAGTAGTGAAAAAAATTAATTATTCTTATACTGCACCTCGATGTAGAACAAAAACTCTTCGTACCTAAAGAAAGATGCCATATCTTAATATGGAATGTATAAACGAATATGAGTACCTACTCATTAAAACATTCCTTGAGACATTCTCAGATAAACGATGCCAAATTTTTTTACATTAATTACAAATTCAAAAAAAGCATCTAAAGTACATTTCCCTTGCGAAAACCAAATTAGCATTCAAAGAAGTTGGACTGTTGGAGATTTGCATACATATTGCTTTTTTAAATACTTACCTTCGAATGGGGATTATATAGAAATTGGCCCATAATTTGCCACATTATTAACTTCTTCTAACTTATACAAAGACACATCGATGCGTTTCAATTCTTCAGATGATACAGATTATTTCGATTCTACAACTGCTCCAGGTTCTTCCGTTTCTTCGAGCTTCCGAAACTCTTTAAATACTTGACATCGTTCATATTCTTTAGATTTTCTTTGGAGGCCACGTTTCTAAAGATTTTCCGTCTTGTTTGGATTTTTCGAATTCTTAGATTTCTCAAATTTTCCACACTTTTGGGGCTTACTTAGAATCACCAAAAGATTCTATCCTCGGATTTAATCTTAGGATCGAATTTGATGTCCAATAAAACTGAGGTGTTTATATACAATAAAATATGTATTATATAAATACAAGACCAAAACGTATAAGATATGTTTAGGCACTAAATAAAAATAAACTCGATAACATAATGTTCTCTTAAGAAGACATAAACATTAGGGTGGTTGTTAGTTTATGAAGAAGGCAACGGCTAAACAATGGCAAAGGCAACTTAAATAAACAGCAAATGGTTTGGTGTAAAATACAGTCAATAAATAACCTTGTCTGCGATAGATTTGTTTCTATGGAAATTGACGGTTTGAAAGATTTAACGGTCTTTTCAGGTTTGGCAAACCGTAATTAATTATTAGTTACGAGGGTCGTTTGAAGTCCCATTGTTCAAATGATCAAAGCGGTATTTAGTGGCGACCGGTTAAAATTAAAACTATGCAAAATATAAAGCATTCGGATCATTTGCTTTGCTTTAGTGGTCGTTTGAATGGGCTCTAGTTAGTAATGGATAAAATCTTTTGCAAAAAGGTATCCTCGTACGAAGCACCTCGCAAGAAAAGACAGAACGAGCGTTACCGTTGCCAACGCGCCACTTCCTAGCGCGCCGATTTTCGCTGTTACTTCAAAAATCATCGACACATTCCACGATTTTCTGAGATGCTACGCGTATTCTGCTAGAGCTAGACGACTACCTGGAAAAGTGTAAAACAATCAACGTAGAGTACTATTCGCCATGGAGAAACGGTTTGGACCTTGTTGCAGTATGGCAACTGGCAAATGCACTGGTGCATCGTGGCGCCCGAGGAAAGGCATGTTCGAGTGGGGATCGTGGGGTTGAAGAAACGATAGTTGAAGTACAAGAGGGGACTACATCAAAAACCAAATATATTTTGTGACTTTTTAATATTGTTACCTATTTATTTCATAACAGGAACCGTATCACACGACCCTCATATCAATGATTAAAAATATTAAAATGTTAGGCTTTTTAATCATTAACCGTATCATCGTAAGTGAAAACCTCGAACTTTGCCTGAAAAGGTTCGGTAATGCTGGAATTACTAGGTAAACCTAAGTTTAGCGACGTAACGGGCTTTGCCGCTAACATATACAGGCTGTTTCACGCAAACCGTTACCGTATTTCAGGCTCTCAATGATAATTTAAATCTAAACATTTGCATACAAACATAATTTTTCATAATCTATCGAAAGAAAATGTTATCATAATCGTTTCACTTCCGGTTTCATCGGATGTGGATAACAACTTTCTTATTTTAAACAGAACACTCTGTATTTTATTGCATTTTCGAAATCTATATGAAAATCTACGTCATATGAAACATAGGCTTAACGTAATGGCAATGGCAACGTTGTACGCACAATCTGTGGGAAATGACGGAGCCTTCGCCCTTTGCCTGAATGTAGGGGCATTCGCGAATTCCTTAAAGAGGACCAGAGAAAGCGCGAACTCGAACTCCATTGCTCAAAATGTCTAGAGAATTTGCAAATTGTCGGATTTCGCAGTTTGCCGGTAACATAATTATAGTACCAATACCAAAGAGTATTTACGTTATATACTCTTTGCATATACCTACCCCATATGTGAAAAATCCCTGTATTAAATTTCTGTTACTGTAGCATAGGCAACTTATCACGCTTAAGGTGTTACTTTGGAAAGCTCGTGCAGATGTCGTTTCCAACAGCTTTTTGACCGTTTTATTTAAAATCATTGCGCGCATACTCGATTTTCAATAGGAAAAGCTTTTGTTCTCCTTCCCCAAGTATCCATCAATATGGCAGTGCAAGCACGTGTGATGTAGATCATTTTGGCAAAATAACTTACTAAAACGATAAGCGCATTTTATCATCATTTACAATACTGCGATTGCTGTTTTATACAGGGTGAGTTTCTTTAAATTACCTCCTCTCGGCGGATTTCATTCAATATTTTCCCGTTTTCATTCGATTCGGCGTGTAAACAAATCACCCCCGACCCTTGCGTATTTTCTTTTACTACGCACTATCGCTTACAAGGTTGTTTTATGTTGTTAGTGCATATTAAGGATTTACCCCTAGATAGCCAAATGTGAGGGTGCTAGATAAACGAACCGGGAGAAAGGTTGATGACCCAGGTTGTCGCCGTTCGCTATGAAAGCTACGCAAAGTCGACCATAATTGTGAACGCCTTTTACAATCAGCCCCTATTTTAATCTACTGATGCGATTAAAATAAAAACCACCTTCTGGCAATTGAATAATTGGGTTTACCGGGTATGCGTAACTTTTGTTTCATTAATTGAGGAAGGTCAGGTTGTTGCGCAGTGCTTTGAAAATATTTATTTAAACGTCGTCGGTGGCGTCGTAAAATTTTATATGATCGTTATATCTATAGTTCGTCTCATTCTACGGTGCCCATTCAAAGCTGTACCAAAAATTTAAAGGGCCAGATACCTTTATAACACCCTTCCGTTAAAATTCTGTGTTGACAGAATTTCACTTTCTTTTTATTGTGTATCTCATAAGAATTTCGGTTTTGAGTTATAACCCGACGAATGCCCGCCTTTATTTAACTGCTCAAGGGCTTCTCTAATTGGATCATTTTTTAATCTCCATACAATGGGGTTAGTATTGAATCATTATTTGAAAATTATCTGTAATTGTGCTATTAAACGTTATCCTTGTACCTTGGTTTCATTAAATATTAAACAGGGTGGTCTTTTTTTGACGATCGATACAAGCGATTTTAAATAAAAAAAAGAATTGCACAACGTGCGTTTTTCTGCCAGCTAAAATAACTAAATTAATCACCATGTGAAAAGAACGAATCAGAGTTTCAGTTCATCGTTTTTTTCAAAACTTACAGGAGTTTTCGTTGTGTTTTGTTCGCATGTGCCTGATGGTATTTGGCATTTACATGAATCCATATTCAACTTATCAACGGCCCTCGGCCCTAGATTCATGTTCGTAAGTCCTACTACTACCAGAACCATTATAGAACGCCCTTTATTTTCCCTTCTTTACTACCTTTACACATTGAGTTAAAAACACTTATTCAATGCGTAATTCGACAAACTAATCTTGAAGCTTATCACACGATCGAAAATTATCGGAGAATGTTCAGAACCTCATTTAGACCTTCGAAACTTATTCATTGCCTCCATCCCAATCAAATTTTCGAATTCCTTGTTAAGTAACTGATTTTGCGACGCTTGTAATAAAAACTATTGCAGTTACCATTTAGATAACTTTTAGTTTGAGGTCAATATCCAATACCGTTCATATTCGTCTAAAAAAAGCTTAATTTGCTCATTGAGTTAATGGCGTCAGCGTGGGGAGAGATTAATATATAATATGTTTGTCATATTACATCCTGGAGCACTTTTTAGGGATTGACTAATGAACCAATAAGTTCTTATTGCATTGGAACAATATAAGCACATTAGTGTTAACATAAAGTTAACGGAATGGGATAATCTCCTTGATGGATTAGTAGAATAGAATTCCAACCTACTACACATAATTGGATCAACACAGTCTGATGCTTTTTCATTGTAATGAAAATCGGCACACAATATTAGTTTATACGCGAAAAAGTGTTTACCTGCAAAATGAAAGTAACCTTGGTTTTTTTGTACACTTCGGGTTATCTGGAAAAGAACAGTTCAGAGATTATCGCCGAAAAAAAGGTCACGTACTGGCCAAAACTGCCGCACACGAAAATAATGCTAATCTTGGACTTAAAACAAGGACGGCGATGCCGCATGTGAATTATCGGGCTTTTGTGCAATAAGCTCGTGATTATTAACAATGTTTATTAATGGAAATTAATTCCGGATTCACAGGCTTAACTTAAAATCGAACTTATCGTATCGCTATCACTGGCGAACTCACTGCGTTAATAAAATGGAGAATTTCCCCGCCAAGAAAGTCACCCCGTAGTAGAGCTATTTTTGGCATGGAGATAAATTTATTTGAATCATACACGCAAAATGGAGACGACGGAGACGACGTCAAATGTTAAAAGATAGCTAATTTTATCACGCTGACCTTGGAAATTCATTCTACAGGGTGAGTCAAGCGGTAAGTGGCGGATAGTGCCCAAATATCTGAAATTAGAAAAAAATGTTTATGACACGAAGCCTTTAAATAAACCGGGTGGTGACTTGAACATCGCACCATAGGAATTTCAATAGTAATTTTTTGTTCATTTCTGATTATTGGCTTCCCTAATTATTTTAGAGATAAATTCTATTTAGGTTTTTTCTAGAAAAAAAATTACGAATCCATGATTAGTATAGCTCTTAATTTTTTGAAGTTTGAAACCAAGAAATTTGATAACTAAAAACTGGCGCTTTTAAGAAAATCAGTGGTGCCACTGCCATGACAGTTTGAGATCAAACAAAAGCTAACTAATGGCAAATGCAGGCGATTTTGTTTAATTTCATAATTCCATGTTCACAGTTTTAAATTTTTTCAATTTTACTGTTTCTGAATTTATAAAAAAGGAAACGATAGTACGGATTCGTAATTTTTTTCTCTATATAAAAAACCTAAATAGACTTTATTTCTAAAATAATTAGGGAAGCCAATAATAGGAAATTAAAAAATTCATCCATCGTATATTTTCCTCTCATAAATGTCGTGTGTATGTCGACATGGTTTTTTGGAACAGTATTTTTTAACATCCCCATTTTTTCGTAATGGTAAATGTTTCAATTATAAATGTCGTTAGCGTAAGCATATTACGCTATTGAAGAATTCAACTATGATAATATCTAGTCTAGTATGAAACCTGTCAATTTTCTGTCTTGCAACACAAAATTCAGTTTTATTTTATAGCAACAAATTCCTGAATAGGAAATCTTATCCTCTTCTCGTACTTGTCGTAGTTTCTTTTGTGCTTCCATCTTAATTTTAATGGAAAGTTAACTCCACCCATGTCATTTTTAATTTACTACTGTTCCTAATGTGACTAAAAACAAAAAGTAGGATAACAAAGTGGCACTAATTTTCTGAATATGTAATATTTTTCCCTCTTGCTGGGTAGGCCAACTGGGACAACGAGATGTCGAAGGCAAATGATGAAGGTGCGATATTGCAGGCAACCTATAGTAAAATAAAGGATAAAATCCACTTTTTACCAGATCTTTCCAACCAGTTGCTGGAATTCGTATTGAACTTTCCATAAAAAAAGAACGTAAATTTGCAATGTACGATAGAATTTGGTACATATTAATGTATGTATATGCGTAAGTTTGCTAATTATATTATCAAACGGTATACCTTGTGTAATATTTAGGTAGACTGTAATTGAATTACCTACATATATCGCAAATGTTCACCCATGGAAACATTACTGTTCCTGTCTAAATAGGAAAGTTAAGAGTTTTGTTTCAAACGAGATACCTCAACGTAATAAATTTCAGCGATAAATGTTGACAATGGGAATTAACGAAAACTTCGCCTTTCAACTTTCAATTACTAATGTTCATTTGACCCTCAAAAAACTAAAAATATGATTTTATTTGTGATGCATTTTCCTACGTAGTCTCCAAAATAATTTCAACGTAAACAAGGTATTGTGACGTAATTATTATTTGTTATGTTTGAGTTTTAAGGTGGAGTTCATTAACAATTTGCCTCTTGAGGTATAAGATTGTAACTGCACAAACAACGAGTTGCGTCTGCGAAAGTTCTTGTAAAGAAACTACGCCATGAATAGCAATCATGGGTAGGTATGATTGACCCTGTAAATTCTGATCCCAAATTGGCGCACCCCTAAACGGGGCGGAATTGGTAATAATAATTATTATAAACCCGCGTTAGGCCATTAACTCGAGGAAGGTTGTGTGTGGCAAGCACACTATCGCTTATTATTACTCCAGGGAACTCCATGTACTCCTTTTTAATGAGGTTGAGTCGATAATTTCCCTGGAATCGAACCTTGTCCCATGTACGTCGAGACTAATCGTCCTTGTCACTAGCGTATTACCTCTTGCTCTTTTCGTTCAACATTGGCACGATCCTATTCCGGATGTTGCTCGCATCTTTAAAAAAACATGTAAATTGACACAATGCGTGCTGTGACCGGCAATCTTTCCTGGCGAGAGTTATATATAAAAAATCACTGAAAATTATTTGATTTTGATTCCTTCATCCTTTATGCTACTGAAGCGTTTACCGTTATTCCAAATTCTGTTTTTTTTTGTCAAAGGTTATAGTTTCCAATATCGTCTTACGTCTATAGCATGTAACAAGCGAAGAAATTTGCACAGGTCGAAAGAAATACATAACCCAACCGAATAATAGGGGTTGACATTGACGTGTGGGTTGCCCCAAAACAGTGTGCTCCGCCACCCGTTGAGAATAGAAACCCTTCAAGGGACCATTTTGCATAACTTGAAAGAAAATACAAAACAATATACATTAAGCTGTGATCTTCATAGACATCCTAATTGAGGGAGCGGTTAAAATGGCATTATGTTTGGGAACACAACAAACTTGCTGGTCATTTTCATTTTAAATATCAAGGATAATACGAAATTGTGTATAAAATGCATTAAACAAGTGCAGTGTATATCGTCGTCTCGTTCATTTCGATTTGACTTTTTTTTCTCCCTCATATCTTCCTAATTCGGTCTCCCTTCAACCAGCAAGTTCATAATTATTCTCCCAGAGTGAAGTTCATACCAATTGTCTCCTCGACTAGGACTTCCTTCGACGCTTATACCAGTCCAGGCCTCTGCCTGATTTTCTCATTCCTGACCCAATCCTTACTTGCCTTCGCCTTGGACTCCCTTTCCAGACTTTCCGCTTCCTTTGACGAAAGCGCTCTCTAACGAGTTCTAATTCTCCCTTTTTTTATTGCCAGTGCTAATGATAATTACGTTAAACTATGTATTG